TCCTTTTGGTAATTAGCTTTACTCCTCATTTCCCAGTTCCATCCTCTCCCCACTCAAAGTAATATAAAATTGTTATTAATGTGCCTATTTAATTACATCCATTGCTATTCCATACAGTCTCAGTTTCCACACATATACTAGCAAGGAATGTCAGACACTGCCTGGGAATTCAAATACCTTAGGAACACGTGACTAATAACACACAACAAAAACAACAACAACAATGAAATTTGTGTTTTTAAAATGTACTTTTCCACAAAATATGCATTTTTGTAACATACACATTTTTGTATGTATTTTTTAACCTAGTTGTTGTTTAGTCATGTCTGACTCTTCATGACCCCATGAACCAGAGCATGCCAGGCACTACTGTCTTCCACTGCTTCCCGCAGTTTGGTCAAACTTATGTTGGTAGCTTCAAGAACACTGTCCAGCCATCTCGTCCTCTGTCGTCCCCTTCTCCTGGTGCCCTCAATCTTTCCCAACATCAGGTCTTTTCCAGGGAGTCTTCTCTTCTCATGAGGTGGCCAAAGTATTGGAGCCTCAGCTTCAGGATCTGTCTTTCCAGTGAGCAATCAGGGCTGATTTCCTTAAGAATGGATAGGTTTGATCTTCTTGCAGTCCATGGGACTCTCAAGAGTCTCCTCCAGCACCATAATTCAAAAGCATCAATTCTTCAGTGATCAGCCTTCTTTATGGTCCAGCTCTCACTTCCATACATCACTACTGGGAAAACCATAGGTTTAACTATACGGACCTTTGTCAGCAAGGTGATATCTCTGCTTTTTAAGATGCTGTCTAGGTTTGTCATTGCTTTTCTCCCAAGAAGCAGGCGTCTTTTAATTTAATGGCTGCTGTCACCATCTGCAGTGATCATGGAACCCAAGAAAGTAAAATCTCTCACTGCCTCCATTTCTTCCCCTTTTATTTGTCAGGAGGTGATGGGACCAGTGGCCATGATCTTCGTTTTTTTGATGTTGAGCTTCAGACCATATTTTGCACTCTCCTCTTTCACCCTCACTAAAAGGTTCTTTAATTCCGCCTCACTTTTTTCCATCAAGGTTGTGTCATCTGCATATCTGAGGTTGTTGATATTTCTTCCGGCAATCTTAATTCCAGTTTGGGATTCATCCAGTCCAGCCTTTCGCATGATAAATTCTGCATATAAGTTAAATAAGCAGGGAGCCTTGTCATACTTCTTTCTCAATTTTGAACCAATCAGTTATTCCATATCCAGTTCAATTTTTTAACCTAAGACATGCTTCTGATGTTTTTCCAGCCATGTATAAACCAGTGGATAACTGTGTCCTCATGAGAAGAGAAGACTCCCTGGAAACGACCCTGATGTTGGGAAAGATTGAGGGCACAAGGAGAAGGGGACGACAGAGGACGAGATGGTTGGACAGTGTTCTCGAAGCTACCAATATGAGTTTGACCAAACTGCGGGAGGCAGTGGAAGACAGGAGGGCCTGGCGAGCTCTGGTCCATGGGGTCATGAAGAGTCGGGCACGACTAAATGACTAAACAACAACAAGAAGAACAATGTTCATATCCATCCTGGAAGTGCTAATCAGGTCAGTTAATAATGCAAACCAAAGAAAAATTCTCACTAGCCTATGGCCACAAAGATGAACAAGTTCTGCTACTGAATGGGAAAAGCGAGGCTTCAGGGCCTTATGGTCTTGGCAAGGCTCTGAACGAATGAAGCATCATTTGCTTTTAAAACTTGCAGAGAATACCTCGTTGTACATGAATCCATTAGCATTTGGAAGGGAAGCTTTGGCTTTGTGTTTTGTGTCAGAGGCAGTTCACATTAAACTCAAGGTCTTAATACTCTTTTGAGGCTGCTGGAAGGCCCTTGGCAACTCTCGAAAAGGCTTTTATTTCTTCAGCATATGTAAATTGGGTAGGGTAAAGTCAATCTGATTTAAGGCTAACATCTCTTCATGAAGTCAGACAAGACAAAGGCTTTATTAAATGAAATAAGGAAAGAATTGAAGTCCCAACAATTGGGTGAATTACATCCCTGAAGGTGTGGGTGAAGTGAGGGAATAATATTTAGCAAAATTAGAAGTACATGCCCAAACTGGCATTGTTCAGTCTACATCCATCACGTTTTTCTGGTTGTTGTTCTTTTCCATTTAATCTGTCTGACATGGGAGTCTGCATCCAAAGGAATAACAGACAAGATCTATTGAGTGCAAGGACATTAGCAAGACTGCATTGGAGTCACTCATTGATTAATGTAGCATCCTATTTATTATGCTAATCAAGCAGAGGTGGCCGTAAATATGAAACTAGTATGTTCAGCGAAGATTCAGTCGTATGCAAACACACTTCTGCAAAGCTTTCTTTTGGACAATGCATCCATGAATAGTGGTAACTACCCCGCTTCCTTATTTTTTAAAAAAATTATTATTATTATTACTCAATTGCACAATTACAGATTTGCATTAATACACAATTCTGTGAAATGACACTAAGAAATAAATAGGAAATAGCTTTTTATTTTATTTTTTAAACAATCTCTTGCACATTTTTAGAAATAGACTTTTGAAAATATTTTGAATTTATATATTTTCAGTTTTGCTTTGGTAAAATTATCTGGTAATATGGAATCTCAAACTCTGGGGCAAAATATAGAATTAGAAGCTTCCATAAATTTCTTTACTACTTCAGCAACCCTGCCATAATCTCTGGACTTGAGTAGGAAGTGACAAGCTGGCCATAAAGATAGGATAGTGCTATATATTATGTTTCCTGCATTACATATAACTCTCATAATATTCAAATTTTTTTGTGTGTGTTTTTTTTACTTTCATGGGGGTGTGGGGAGCGCCAATGGTATTCTTTTTCATTGCCAAATCAGTTTTTGTTATGCTTTTGTAATTTCATTGTTGTCTTTTTTACTTGCTTGTAAATTTCTTTAGTAATAATAATAATAATAAATTTTATTTATATCCCGCCCTCCCCAGCCGAAGCCGGGCTCAGGGCGGCTAACAACAATAAAACAGTACAAAAGTTTAGGACATTTTAATGGGAAGCAACATACAAATTCAATAAACACAGCCTAACCAATCAGTTAGTGTTGAATGCTGTGGCAGGATTGGCGACAGGAGTTAGACCATGTCAACATGTACCACCTGTGCTCAGAGATCTGAACTGGTTGCCGATTTGCTACTAGGCCGTTCAAGATATTAGCATATAAAGCCCTTTACAACTTGGGACCAGTGTACCTGCAAGATTGTCTTACCCCATATATGCCCGCTTGATTTCTTCGATCTGCAGAATGTGAAATCTCACAGGTGCCACAAAATAGCCATTCTGCATTGTAAGAAATCAATATATGGAACTCCATGACTATTGACTAATAATTTTCTAAATAGTTGTTTTTCAAGTGTTGTTACTGAAAATTGTATTGTTTTATTCTCTTCGTAAACCACGTTAACAATCAAGTGGTGTGTGTGTGTGTGTGTGTGTGTGCGTTTGTGTAAATAAACAAGTAAACTTTTTTTTTAAAAAAAAAATTGTTTGTGCTCTTCCCTCTGTCCCATCACACACACTGCTTCTTTGTGGGATAAGGCAGATTGAATACATAAACTAGGACAGCATTTGCTCTAAGAAGACTACGAGATGCTTTCATACAGCCTCTTTACCAGACATTTCGGTGCCTTAACTCACATCCGTTTTCTGTATCTAGCAAATCTGTAGCATTCATAATCTCTTCTCCCCCCATTCCCCCATAATGCTTTCTGAAGCAGCATTTGGATAGTTCTTGTAGTCATGTCCTGTAGTAGCAGGATAAGACAATTTTCAGTGATAAAATCAACAGTAACTTTGACTATGAATATTTATGTCTCTAAACTCCATGTTATTTCAGTAAGAGTGCTCAGCACATTGCATATGCCAAGGGCACATTAACTTGAACCATTTGACTTTCCTGATAGAAGAAGCTGAGGAGGGGATGAGCCTTATTCTGATTAACTGAGAGCAGAAGAAAGCCTTTCCTACTTCAGCAATTTGAAGAATTTGCATTTAAAAGCTTCAGTCAGTGTCCAGTGATCTTGTATTAACGCACTCAGGGAAAAAATGCAAAAAAAGATCTTAGTTCCCACAATCAGCTATAGGGACGGGGGCGGGGGGGACGCGAAAATGTCTTTTCTCATGAGTTCCAGAGAATAAACTATTGCATTAAAAATTCAGGGGTGTATTACCATCAAATCCACCCTCCTTCCCTGTCGGATACATTTATCTAGTCTTTAGCTCCTTATTTGACAATCATGCTTATGCAGAAAACATAGCGAAAGAGCAAGACTGTGCCAAACTGTACGCATCCCAACTTCCATATTTTTAGCAGCTTGGACATCTCATGCCAGGCCCCTTCCATGATTTTTCAGAGTGGGTTCTGTGGGAAGGATATAGTTCAGTGATAGAGCATTTTCTGTGCAGAGGACCAGTTTGGCATAAAGGTTAGAGTGTTGGACTATGATCTGAGAGACCAGGGTTTGAATCCTCACTCAACCATGAAGCCTATCTGGGGCCAGTCCCTGCCTCTCAGCCTAAGCTACCTCACAGGCTTGTTATGAAGATAAAAGGAGGAGGAAAACTGAGTACACCACCTTCAGCTCCTTGGACAAAGAGGCAGCATAGAAATAAATGCAAAGGTTCCAGGTGTCAGGTTGCCATCCCAAACCACAGTGAGTTAGAAAGATGCCTTTATTCTGGCCAATAAGAGGCTCAGTTGCCAGCACAGCGTCATGATTCCAAGATACACAAGCAAGGCAAGAGATTCAGAACCAAATGGAAGCTACAAAGATGGTTGGATAATTGTCATGCCCTCCTGTCCACCTTTTAAAGTGACCGCTGCACAGGCAAATTCCTGCTGCATCAGACAAGGGCATCTGATTCTACCTATGGAGGAGGCACCTGGTTCTTGGTGACAAGATTTTGTCTTGCCCCTCTGACTCCAACTCTTGCTCAGCCACTTCCACTGGCAGGTTCGCATACGCCCTCTTTCCCATCCAGGTACTAGCCAGGCCTGACCCTGCTTAGCTTCCAAGATCAGACATGATCTGGCATGTTCAGGGTAGTATGGCCGTAGACAGCATAATCCCTCCTTCCCAATGAGGCCCTGCCCTTTGAATTCGTCAGCATTTTCTCCTAATATACATATTTTTGCCTAACACACATTTTTGCAAAGCAATTTCCCCTAAATTAATGTATTTTTGTATGTTATCTAGGCTATCATATGCATTTTATGTACATTTTATCCATATTATATGTATTTTTATGCACATTTGATTCACATTTATACATTTGTATTGCTGGAAAACTGCATTATAAAATTAGGCAATTTCAAAAGAGCACTGTGTTTTGGTTCTCATATTGTTTTGGAAAGTGCAGATTAGGTAGATCTGCTTTTAAATGTGAACTGAATTGAATCCTCCTCCATCCCTAACTGTGAGAATTTCATACATCTCAACGATTCTTAGCAGCATGGATCCTTAGACGCCTTCTTATGTAACTGAATTATTACTACATGTACTGATTTTAATGCAAATTGGGGTATGGCTGAAATTACCCCTTCCCAGTTCACAAACTCAGAAAGCCATCTTTAAATTCTAGAAGGCTCAATGGGAAAACAGAAGCTTTGGGCAGCTTTATTTATGTCACACAGTCTCAGGCAAGGGGTTGTGCAGTAATGAATATATTCAGTAGTGAGTTGCAAGGTGCTGATTTGCCTCCATGTTTTTTTGCTGTAAATGCACACACACAGATGCAGGATTTTGTTATTTCTAGCTGAAATAAAACATGTTACAAAGGTGTTGCCATTTTCCATATTGTTGTAATCATACAGCTCTTGAGCTGGATTTTTAGCAATCAGTCACTTGGATACCTGTCTCCCCCTCACTCTGCTCATGACACAGACCATCTCATCTGAATTTTGAATATATTATGCTTGCAAATGAATACCTGAACTGCATAGACAACTCTAAAGGAGAAGATATTCAGAGATGTTCATTCTTCCCTGTATAGATTCCCACGGAAGCAAGTGCCCTCCTTCCCAACCAACTGCAGGATCAAAGCCAAAACCTCTTTACTGTGCTAGCTTCTGGAATCTGCACAAATCTGATTAGCAGTGCAATCCTGCATATATCTGCTCAGAAGTAAGCCCCAACTGATTTCAATGGGATTTACTGCTGGGTAAGTGTACACATGCCCTTCTTCACCACCACTGCTTCAGCAGAATCTCCCTTTCTCTGGTACACCAGCTGCCTCGGGCCTCTTCCTTTGTCTGTCACCCTGCAGCAGCAATGCCAACAAGCTCCCTCAGTGGAAGATGTGGGAATAGAGCTCTGCTGAAGGATGGCATGTCTGGGTTTGGTTTTTTCCACTTGCTTCCCTGCCCCTTTGCTGGTTAGGAGACCACCATTCCTTTCACAGAGCTATAACTTCCAGAGTTCCTGGGAAGAGATGTGGATTGCTAAACCACTCTGAGAAGTGTAGCTCCTAACATGTCTCCTAACATGGCTCAGCACCCTTGCCAAACTACAGATCCCAGGATTGTCTGACAGAAGCCATGAATGTTTAAAGTGGTATGTTACTGCTTTAAATGATTAATGCAGATGGACGCAGCTCCTTCCTTTAAGGGAAGCAGGTTCTTAACTGTGGTGCAGCCACTGGGAGAGATCATCAGGGGGTTTGGGCTGGGTGTTCATCAGTATGCAGATGATACCCAGCTCTACCTCTCTTTCAAATCAGAACCAGTGAAGGCGGTGAAGGTCCTGTGTGAGTGTCTGGAGGCAGTTGGAGGGTGGATGGCGGCTAACAGATTGAGGTTGAATCCTGACAAGACAGAAGTACTGTTTTTGCGGGACAGGAGGCAGGCAGGTGTGGAGGACTCCCTGGTTCTGAATGGGGTAACTGTGCCCCTGAAGTACCAGGTGTTCAGCCTGGGAGTCATTTTGGACTCACAGCTGTGCATGGAGTCACAGTTCAATTCTGTGTCCAGGGCAGCTGTTTACCAGCTCCATCTGGTACGCAGGCTGAGACCCTATCTGCCCTCAGATTGTCTCACCAGAGTGGTGCGTGCTCTAGTTATCTCTCGCTTTGAAGGTGACCCGGAAACTACAACTAACCCAGAATGCGGCAGCTAGACTGGTGACTGGGAGCAGCCGCCGAGACAATATAACACCGGTCTTGAAAGACCTACACTGGCTCCCAGTATGTTTCCGAGCACAATTCAAAGTGCTGGTGTTGACCTTTAAAGCCCTAAACGGCCTCGGTCCAGTATACCTGAAGGAGCGTCTCCACCCCCATTGTTTTGCCCGGACACTGAAGTCCAGTGCCGAGGGCCTTCTGGCAGTTCCCTCGCTGCGAGAAGCCAAGTTACAGGGAATCAGGCAGAGGGCCTTCTCGGTAGTGGCACCCGCCCTGTGGAACGCCTTCCTACCAGATGTCAAAGAGAAAAACAACTACCAGACTTTTCGAAGACATCTGAAGGCAGCCCTGTTTAGGGAAGCCTTTAATGTTTAATAGACTATTGTATTTTAATATTTTGTTGGAAGCCACTCAGAGTGGCTGGGGAAACCCAGCCAGATAGGTGGGGTATAAATAGAAGTTGTTGTTGTTATTATTATTATTTTGAGCACAACATCCCAGATTGACAGAAGCCACCCCAGCTTCTGATCACAAGCCCAGGTGTCCAGTTTGGGCTCCCTCCTCTTCCTTGTCTTCCTCCTCTGTGGCCTCCGTCACTACCACCACCATACTTCCAGAAGCGGATGCCACACTTATGGGAACACTGGCATCCAGAAGTGCAGTGCCAGCTTCTGGAAGTATGACAGCGGTCTCAACATTGGAAGTGGAGATGGAGGCCATGACAGTGGCAGAGAGAGAGGGGACACTGTTGGTGCCATGTGGGGAGGCCTCAGGTTGCCATGGCACAAGCCAGAAAAGGTAAGGTGGGAAGGCGTGGGGAAGGGTGGGGTGGGCGGCAGTGGCATAATGGGGGGGGGCTTCCTGATTTGCCCTTCTGTAAAGTTTGAGGGTATGTGACTGTTGCTGTCACTGGGCTGTCTCCTCCCATCAGGAAACGTTTCTTTTAAACCATTGAGAAGGGTGAGTTGGATAGTAATCCTATCCAGGCATTTTGAGGTGAACATGTATGGGCTTAAATTTGGGGAAAAGGATGGAGACAAACAGGCCCCACCGCAAGGTGCATGCACCAGCTTCTGGAGGGTGATGCACTTAGAAGCCTCCCTGCAGTTGTGAACACCTGCAAATTGCTACTTTCTAGTACTTGGTATACGCCACTATTTTAGTATATGCATAAAGTATACAGAACAGAGGGCTAATACAAAAAAACCAGGCCAATATGTGCTAAGGAATCTTAATGTATTGTGGATCATTTTTTTCTGTGTGTGTTCATTAGGATGTAGCAGCCAGGAACTGCGATGGGCAGTGTTGTATTTCACTGGCTACACGAGACGTGTCAGTAGAAAGAGGAGGAACATGGATATTTCAGTAAACTCTCTGGGTGACATTTATCTGCTTGTTATCCCATAAACCTTTCAACAAAAGAGACTATCTTTTCAGTGCCACTTAAAGAATAAGACTTCCTTCCAATCACATAGATCAGCAGTGCAAATGGAGAAAAGGAGAACACATCAAACATTTGGATAGCAATGGAAAAAGAAGGAATACAGCAATATTCTTAAAATGAATGAGCTCAATAAGCTCTCCTTTAAACCAGGCAAATGTTTAATTTAAGAGGTGTGCATGGGATTAAGATTAAGGGGGGCAGTTTGGATGGGTTCAGGGCTTGTCCAGACCAATGCAGGATCCTTCTGAAAAACCCTGTACTGAAATGAGGACCTCTGAAGGGAACTCTGCTGGGTCTGGGGACGTTGTGGAGGATACAAAACAGCAACTAAGTGGAATTGATACCCATTCAGTGGCGTAGCGTGGGGGGTGCAGGGGGGGGCTGGCCGCACCGGGCGCAACATGGGGGGGGCGCTCGCACTCGAGTGCTAAAATCCACAGGTTAGGGGGCGCAAATTACTTGCCTTGCCCCGGGTGCTGACAACCTACCCTACGCCACTGTACCCATTCCACATTTGTAAGAACTCGATAATTTGGTTTGGTAGCACCTGTACTTTGGAACTCCCTGTTTATTGAGATCAAGAAGGCGTATTCACTGTACTCTTCTTTGGCACTTGCTTAAAACAGTCTTGTTTAGGCAAGCCTACCTAGATACTTAGAAAGTTAAGGTAGTTTTAATCTTTTTAAATTTTGTGTGTTTTAAAGTATGATTGTAATTTTTTTTTCAGTTTTATTGATTTATCTTTTTGTAAAGCACTTTTTTTTTTTTACAAGCAAGTGGTGCATAAATTTTATAAAGCAAGCAAACAAACAACCAACACAGTTGCTACTGTAGTCACTTTCAACAGTAGGGAAAGCAAAGCTCTTAGGGGGGAAACAAAGAAGCTGTGGAGTGCTTGAGCTGCATTAAAGTGGTGAGAGCAGAAGATTTTATCTCCACTGCTTCCCCTTCCTTCTACAGTATCCAGGTGGTCGTAGCTCGTTGAGGCAGGAGTGGTTGGCAGGGTGCTGCTGCTTCCCTCATCTCCCATCACTGATGCCACTGTGATGTAACAGGAGGGGGCAGGGTGATGCAGCAGCAAGGCCAGTGCGGTGCAAATGCCCTGGCAGAACCAATCCAGCACTCCTGCTGGTGCCCTTTCATCACACTGAGCCCTCTGCTGCCCCACTCTTCCCCGTATGCCACAGCAACAGTGGTGATGGGAGGTCAAATAAGAAGCATTGCACACCAATCCCTGCTGCCTTTAGCAAACAGTTTGTTAGAAAGGGGTGAAGGACGGGTTGATAGGCTCTCCCTTATCTTTTCTGGCTGTTGCTAAGAGCAGTGGCTCAATGCAGGGTGAGTCAGTCATGCAGATTGCATCGCTAAGTGTGCACTCAGCAATGTACTCAGAGAACAGGGGAGGAAACAATGGAAGTTAGACTTCAGGGAAGATGCTTTTGGAATAGAGACCATGTGACATATCTACAGTTGGAAGAGATATGTAACTGAATAACCCACCTAAGTGAAGAACAAAGCAGGTTAGATACACTTATGGTCTGAGCGATCACATGTAAAGTGACTGTAAAAAGTTTCTTTTTTCTCATTCTCTCCTATTAGATGCCTTTGTATTATTACAGATGTATGCATTCAGTTGAACTTACCCTTGATAAGACTGAATTGACCTAACTGTGGGCTCTTTTGTTTGTTTGGAGAACTGTGTCACAAAATTCAGAGGAGCACATATTTTGAAGGGTAACTACATTTTGGTTTGTATATTGATCCAGCGAATGCAAATTAGGTAGTGTCACATTAAAATATGAACTCAACAAATCTATCCCCTATGACACTCACTACCATATGACATTTACCATTTCCATGAACACATTTGCTGTACCATCTACAAAAAATTCGGGTCTATTTTAGGGGAAATTCATTTTCCATACAGCACATAAATTTGCTGTATGGATATGATATTGTGCAATAGCTGTGTTAAAATGATATATATGATATGTGACTTGCTATCAAATTTGACCTTAAAATACAATGTGAAGTGAATTCTTTAAGGAAAGTAAAAGCAAATTTTCATCTAGCTAATGAAAGTCTCCAAATGGTTCTACAAATCCCTAATTCTCTTGCCCTCTCAAATCTCTGAATATCCATTCTAAATAGTTTCCACTACCACATTTTGGAAGAAGATCTCAGAGGATTTTACTATATCCCCAAATTGCCAGTGGATCTGGCCTAAAGAACAACTGGAGACAAATCCTGCTTGGGAAAACATCCAAGACATTTGGAGTATTAAACATGGAATTTTTTCAAGTATGTTTCATCTCTTCTCAGATTGGGGAAAAACACACAAACAGAGAAATAATCTGGAATAATCTGCTTTAGTGCTGGTGCCAGCTTCTGTAGTGAGGCAACCCAAATTATCAAGGGAATGTGCAATTATAAAGTACTAGCATTAGGAATGTTCTCCAATTCCTCCACTTAACACTGAGGTAAGATAGCTTTACACTGAGTTGTGTGTAGGGGATTAAGAGTTGACAGTAGGGGTTTCTCTACCAAGGGATAAAACTGCAGAGCTGCACGTCTCTCTTAGCCCCAATCTTGGCATCGTTTGTGTCCATCTGCTCCCTTTAATGCTGTAACACAGAGATGAACAGATGGGGCTTCCTCCCCAGCCTTCTCTTGTAGCCCATATTCATTATAACCTAATTTTTATGATGACAGCCTCACTATCAGAAATACTAGTCACTCTTCCCATCCACACTTCTCAGAAATGGGGGGAAAGTCTTACTTTTGCTGCTGAGCTCTTAAACTGAAAACTAGCAGCCTGGAATGAAAAGCCAGTTAGGTTGAAGTACTAGTCTTTAAGTCAATGCTAATCTCATTGACTGAACTCATGGTTGGGGCTGTTTGTTGTGTTTTATGGATCTAGAATCCTTGGAAGCTATTCTATATTGACTGGCCACAATTCTCAGTCATTTGGTATGTCACTGATGGACCTCCAATATATTTCATTATAGTCAAGAAAGTGCCTTCCACTACTTATGTGTTGGCTACTGTTTGGGGGCAACAGTTGCTAAGACATTTCTGGCTTCCTCTCTTTTTGAAAAATAATAATAATATTTATTAATTTTCAACCATTTAAACACAACAAAACAGAAAGACAAAAAAAAAGAAAGAAGAAAAAAAGAAAAAAACAGAAAAACATAAAACTAACAAAGCATGACACAAACCATTTCAAACACAGAACAATTTCAATGTCTTATCTTTCATTCCCTTATTTCCACGACCTCCTCACACCTCCCTTTCTGTTTTCCACTTCTATTAATTATTTCAGCAATTCCTTTCCATCTTCATCTGTTTTCTATCCTATAATTATCTTGACATATTCTAGCCTTATTTTCCCTTTAATACACTATTAATCTATTTATACTTGATTCCTTATAGCATTTCTACTAAAGCCATATAACTTCATTCCAACATTTTTCAAACATTCATTATTTTTACAGTATTTCTATAAATAGTCTTAAACTTTTCCCAGTCTTCTTCCACCAGCTCTTCTCCCTGGTCTCGGATTTCTGCCAGTCGTTTCCGCCAATTCCATATAGTCCATCAACTTCATCTGCCATTCTTCCCGAATGGATAAATCTTGTGTCTTCCAGTACTTCACAATGAGTATTCTTGCTGCTATTGTTGCATACATGAGACAGATTCTATCCTTCTTTAACACCAATTGACCGACCATGCCCAGGAGAAAGGCCTCTGGTTTCTTCAAAAGGGTATATTTGAATACCTTTTTCATTTCGTTATGAATCATCTCCCAGAGTGTCTTAATCCTTGGGCATGTCCACCAAAGGTGAACTCTAATCCTCAAATTCGTCTGTTTTTCCTTAAGTTCAGTCATAGCGAGCGTCAACTTATGTTCATCAAATTGCCTCTGTAGGGCTGGGGCTCTCTTTCTCTTTCTCTCCAGTTGTGTTTCTGTACCTTCAACAGCAACAGCTTTTTCCTTGACTTCCTCCACAGCTTGCCATATCAAAATAGGTTCTTGTATCAATTTCTGGGTGGTTTCTGTATTGGTATTGTCCATACTCCCTGCATTCAAGTCAACCTCAACAATTGAAACATCCACTTTCGCATTTATCATGTCCATTTTCCTGTGAAGCTGATCCAATGAGTCATTTATCTTATATAATGCAGCCACCAAAGCCTCTTCTGTCGACATTCCTCTTGGTTTCAAATATACTAGTACAAAGACAGCAACAAAAAGAACAGGAGGGCCTAATAATAGACCTCTCCTGGATTGTTACCAAGTCCTCCCAGACCTTAATATTTTATCAACAGTTGACTGGTCTGTTTTTCCTCTTCCATTTACCATAACACTTAAAAGATTCAAGGTCAGTCCCAGAGTCTCACAGTTTTTAACTTGCAGCTGGAAATTCCCCTAGTCCAACTCTTGTAAATCAACCAGTTTCAAAGGCTTCCACTAGGGGGAAACAGTTTCTATTTCTAATAGTCAATAGTATCCTCTTTTAAACAATCCAAAGTTAGTTTCAAATTAGTTTCAATTTTCAGTTACTTTTACTCCTTTTTAAAGCAGCCGGAGACAATAGAAACAATGTATTTCTCTTATTTAGCTAGCTGTCAATGAACATTCTAAACGCTGTCAATGAACATTCCACAATACGTCAGTCCTCCTAGCAGCCCGTTTCCAGGGTCAGAGTGGCAGTGTTTTAAGTCTCTTCGCTCTCGCCCACAGGCATACTCAATCCGCAACTTCCCCCTCTCTTCTCCTGCCTCCAAGAGGGGGTTTAATGTTCTTTACCGTTGGAAATTTGATCTTTTACAAAAGACCTTCCAGGACTCCAGCTTGCAACTTCATTGCCTCAGTCTATTTACAAAAGGGGAAGGTGGACTTCCGTTTTGAACCTCCCCGTTACGATACCAAATTAAACTTTTAGAAATCCAATTCTTCCGTTTCAGCTCTACTCACGGGTAATTACTTTAAAGTCAAATTGTCCACAGGAAAAGGTCAGCACTCTCCGGCAACAGCTATGCGGCTTCGCTCCGTGGAAGAAGCAGACGATTCGATGCACCGCGCCGCTCTCCCCACGTCGCTCCGGAGCCCCAAAAACCGGGGTTACAAAAGGTGCCCGCCAAATCCCATGTTCACAGGCTTCTCCCGCCTGTGATTTTAACAGGTCTCCGCCTTCGCCGTGGCGGCCAGACCCAGATTTCCACGGAGCAGACTCCTCCCGGTCAGAGGAATTCTGCCATTACCGGAGGCGCCTCCCCCGGAAGTCTGGCTTCCTCTTTTTAAGATGGGAATTAATCAGTGTGGTGTAGTGGTTAAGAGCAGTAGTCTCGTAATCTGGGGAACCGGGTTCGTGTCTCTGCTCCTCCACATGCAGCTGCTGGGTGACCTTGAACTAGTCACACTTATTTGAAGTCTCTCAGCCCCACTCACCTCACAGAGTGTTTGTTGTGGAGGAAGAAGGGAAAGGAGAATGTTAGCCGCTTTGAGACTCCTGAAGGGGAGTGAAAGGCGGGATATCAAATCCAAACTCTTCTTCCTCTTCTTCAAACTCTTCTTCTATCTAAAATATTGTGTATGGTAAATCTGGAAAGAATTTAAATTTAAAGCAAAATAAATTTAGATGGTTCCTGTTGAAGCATAATATCTAAGAAATGTTTAATTCATTCATTCCCCCTCCCCCAACATCTCTAGGGACGGGGAAATTTCTAAATTGCAATTTCTCTCTGATTTTTTTTTTTATTTTTCCAATCTTAAATTCAATTCTCCACATTTTGACATTTGTTTGCAGATTTCTTTAAAAAAATAATCCTGATGAAAATTAAATTGCATTTTAAACAAATTTATTTTGACATAGACATCTTTGTATGCAATTTTGCATAATATGAACAGTTTCAAAAAGCAATTTCCCCTATTATAATGCATTTTCATTGTTAGTTTCACTAATATATGCATTGTTATGCACACTTTACCCTAGAATATGCATTTCTGAACACATTACTTGCCTGGAGTACTGCACTGAAAAATTTGGAGAAGTGCGAGTTTCAAACAATGGCTGTGTTTTGGCATTCATATTGTTTCAGAAATTGTGAATGGAAAGAGCATTTAATTGTGATTTCATCCCCACCCCTACACATTTGTAAACAGCATTTGAAGTTTCTTTTCTTCAGACCCACACACATATATTTACTTTTGACTAAACTGGGTCTTAGCAAGTTAGAATCATAGAATCATAGAGTTGGAAGAGACCACAAGGGCCATCGAGTCCAACCCCCTGCCAAGCAGGAAACACCATCAGAGCACTCCTGACATATGGTTGTCAAGCCTCTGCTTAAAGACCTCCAAAGAAGGAGACTCCACCACACTCCTTGGCAGCAAATTCCACTGTCGAACAGCTCTTACTGTCAGGAAGTTCTTCCTAATGTTTAGGTGGAATCTTCTTTCTTGTAGTTTGGATTCACTGCTCCGTGTCCACTTCTCTGGAGCAGCAGAAAACAACCTTTCTCCCTCCTCTATGTGACATCCTTTTATATATTTGAACATGGCTATCATATCACCCCTTAACCTCCTCTTCTCCAGGCTAAACATGGCCAGCTCCCTTAGCCGTTCCTCATAAGGCATTGTTTCCAGGACTTTGACCATTTTGGTTGCCCTCCTCTGGACACGTTCCAGTTTGTCAGTGTCCTTCTTTGGGTGCCCAGAACTGGACACAGTACTCCAGGTGAGGTCTGACCAGAGCAGAATACAGTGGCACTATTACTTCCCTTGATCTAGATGCTATACTCCTATTGATGCAGCCCAGAATTGCATTGGCTTTTTAGCTGCCGCGTCACACTGTTGGCTCATGTCAAGTTTGTGGTCAACCAAGACTCCTAGATCCTTTTCACATGTACTGCTCTCAAGCCAGGTGTCACCCATCTTGTATTTGTGCTTTTCATTTTTTTTGCCCAAGTGCAATACTTTACATTTCTCCCTGTTAAAATTCATCTTGTTTGTTTTTGCCCAGTTCTCTAATCTGTCAAGGTCGTTTTGAACTGTGATCCTGTCCTCTGGGGTGTTAGCCACCCCTCCCAGTTTGGTGTCATCTGCAAATTTGATCAGGATGCCCTTGAGTCCATCATCCAAGTCGTTGATAAAGATGTTGAATAAGACCGGGCCCAAGACAGAACCCTGTGGCACCCCACTAGTCACTCTTCTCCAGGATGAAGAGGAACCATTGATGAGCACCCTTTGGGTTCGGTCAGTCAGCCAGTTACAAATCCACTGAGTGGTAGCATAG